CCACGACAATAAGCAAAGACACAATTTTCGCGTGGGTCGGTAAGCAAACTAATTGCCGAACGAGTCGAGGGAGCCATTTTTGTCGCCGTTTAGAAAAACAATTACCGCGCTTAAAATTCACCTCCAAAACCTCAATTTATAAAAATCGGAAGCATATCCGCTTAAACGTACACTACATTACGTTACACTACAATACACCTACGTTAGTCTTTGATAGCAGCCCTAAATTCCGATACTCTTTACTCGAGTTCTCAGTTTGTTGCATAAAACAATCAATAAAAAACAACTTTAAGAACGTTTAAGCAAATTTAAGCTGAAAAATCTCATCTAATTTAATTTGCAGTTCTTTTTAAACTTCTCACCACTTTTATCGTTAGTCGAGCCATCTTTAGATTGGAATAAGAATAAATTAACGAAATTCAGAGTGAAATCTTGTTTTAATAGTGAATTCAGTTGATTAATTCTCCCGAAACCTCAGCGCCTAATGAAAACGCTAATCCTTCGCTGGTGATGGGGTATTGGGGGCTGTTGCTGGGGCGCCGTCTGTACTCAACGAATCGGGGCGGCCGGCGTAAAATGACCGCGGCTACAAGGTGAATGCAAAAACGTGTGAGCCGCACCTGCAGCCTGGATTTTTGAGCCTTTTTGGGAGTTCTGAGGAAATTGGGTTAATCTTAAGAGTTCCGGATGGCGTCGTTTTGCCTACAAAAATCGTAGCATTCATATAATTTTTATTTGGGATTATTTTGACTTCTATTTTTATTATATTTAGTGTTTTTTAGATCGTCGACCTTTTAGATGGTCTTTACGATTTTTGGTATATTCTATTCAAATTTAAGAATGCCAAAAAAAACAAAATGATAGGCCCCGCCAACCCATATATTCGGCTACCCCATTCTCGATACACATTCCGGATGACGGCAATTTTTCTGGGTTATGCCCCGGGGCTATATTTACGGGAAACGCGTCTTTACGCATTCCTCGCCAACCAGTACATATTGCTAAACGGATAAATCAATAACCGGATTCGCAAGCAAGGCGAAAGCGGGTACGTAACTCATGACTAATCCACTAAAAATACGTGATTTATGCAAAACAAGTTAGTTTTTAGATGCCAAAATTTTTTGCCAGGATTAAAATAACTTTAAAAACCTAATTTTTAAAATTATTAAAGAGTTTTTGGGATTTTTTGGGACTTTTAATGATGTTGATTAAAACATGATAAATGTACCAGAATATGCGATGGTCGGATATGTCGGTTTCTAGGCAGATATGCCTGAAAATTCGCATCTCCAGTCATCAAACCCCCTCAAAAAAAGTGCACCCCGCTGCAAGACGGCCATAATTTTCGGCTGAGACCCTCGAAATAAGTGCAAAACCGAAAATAAGGCTCGTCTTGCACAACTGAAAGTCCGAATAGAATAGCATTCTGGTGGTGACACGCGAGGGCTAGCCTCGAGCTCTGAGTCTGACACAGAGGGCAAGGCATTTCCGCTTCTGCTCAATGCCCGGATCCGTCGCTTTGGGCCTAGGGTGGGCACAACAATATGAAATGTACTATTATAACTCGCTAGCAGTTCGTTCCGACGTTTCGAAATAAGAATGCCGACAAGCCAAGAATTTTAAACTAAGAATGTCGATAGGCCGAAATCCTACGCAAGAAAAAGCGACTTCCGACAGCCGAATGATAGAAAATCTTAAGCCGCCACAACGAACATTAGAATACCGACAACTAGAAAATTTCGCATAAAAAATACCGACATTGGAATGCTGAAAAGTCGATATTCTTAATCACAAAATCCATGATGAGAATGCCGACAATCCAAATATCCTGCATTGACTATGCTGTTATAGGAATGCCGAAAAGCTAAAAACTAACGCAAAACATCGATATCCAAAATGTCGACAAGCCGAAATACCGACAGATATATCCAGGCACCCAAAAACAAAAAGAAACATCTCAATTCCCAGGATTTCAAGTTCATGTCCGCATTGTGGCTGTCCGTATTTCTGCTCGTCGGTGGTTTGTTTGTCGGTATTTTATGTTGTCGGCAATTTCGAAATCGGATTGGAAAACATTAAGCTAATTAGCATAAATCCTAAGCCGAAATAAGCTGAAGGCTAGAAAACAAAAAGAATAATGGCTATCACAATCTAGAATTGCATTTTCTATCCATCCTATATCGCCCTAGCTCAAAAGGCCACATCCACGCGATCCTTGCTCGAGCGTGGCCCGAGACTAATGAACAGCCCGGAAATCCAAGCCCAACACTGGCCCAGGGCCCTTTCTAGGGGCCCACATTTTTCGGGGCAGGGGGGCAGAGCTGATTTATAATGCGGTTTTTGGAATGGGTAGAGGATGGAGAAGGGGGGATATGTGATGAGCTGTGAATATAATAGGGTTACCTAGAATATAGGGGTCTCGGTCCAGAGGAGGTTAATATAATTTTGGAGGCTAGTGAGACTACGCTACGCTAGTGAGAAAGCGATAAAGAGAGAGAGAAAGAGAGAGAGAGAGAGAGAGAGAGAGAGGGAGAGAGAGAGGGAGAGAGAGAGAGAGAGAGAGAGAGAGAGAGAGAGAGAGAAAGAAAGAGAGCAAGAGATCGTGACGTAGACGGATTTTCTAGCAAATTTTATGAGCTCCTGCTTCGGACCTGGAAGCTCTATTTACCCTCCCCAATAATGGCATTTCCGGCAAAATTAAATGTTTTCGGAGTAGATTTGCACAAACCTCTGCGACCCGGCCTGGAGAAAGGGTACACTGATCGGAATCTTCCATTTTTTAGCTGAAATCTGATTTTACGAGAGAGAGTGAGAGAGAGAGAGATAGAGAGAGGCAGAGAGAGAGTAAAAGGGACTGAGAGTGCGAGCGAGGGAGAGAAGAGAGAGTGAAAGAGAGAGCGAGAGAGAGCGAGGAATCGGTGAATTCAAGGATTATAAGTTTTTAATCGATACTTTAATATTTCGAAGACCCGGACCAACTCTATAAAGTCCAGCGGATCCATCTCTTTTTTTCCTCTTTTTTTCAGGGGCTGCCCGGGGCGGATATTCGTGTATGGATAGGAAGGACTAATTACAAGGGTCCCCGAGAGGCCAAAAAGGAATGGAAAAAGATGCGATGGGCCACCCCTCGGCCTCCCTTCTTTTCCCGAGAGGCAGAAGCCAAAATGGGGCCTAATTCGTGTCACGAAACTCGCGAATTGCTCATTCGGAAACGAGTAGTAATGTGTAACGTGCGTATAGAATTGTATAACTGGATTAAAAACGTTTCGGCCCTCAAAAATTAACAAGTTAAAATAGAAAAACAATGCCTTAATAATAAAAACTCCATTCCTTTTCAGTTGGCAGGAATCAATTTATTGCGCATTCGTTCTATTTTTGGAGTCAAATTTGATTCCATTGCATTTAGCCAAATTTATAAGGCAACTAAACATTGAAAAATTTAAAATTGCACTTTAACACACCTTAATACACATTTAATGGTAGTTTGCGCGAAGTAAAAACAAGGAAAAAATGCAATTATGCATTATAAGCTTCCGGAAATTAATATGGTACTTTAAGCAACTGATTTCAATCTCTACTTACCCATTCCACATCGCTCAAATCCGGCACAACCGTCCCGCTCCTGACGCTGAGACTGGAATATCGTGCTTCTCGATCATCGGATTCTTGATGAAGGAATGAGGCTAATCTGAAGAAGGTTCTACGGTTTACTCGGCGCTTGGCGTATACCTGGAGATTGACGGCTTCGTGGAGTAGACGGAGAATTCATCTGCTAACAATAGCTTCCGGCTCATCTTCGAGATGTAGTGAGAACTAGCTGTAAACCTAATTTTATGAAAGTTCTTGAAGAAAGTCCGACGAGGATGGTCGATAATGTCAAAACAAGATGGCCAGGCGGCTAGACTAAAGCTTTGAGAAACCTGGTAATGCCTAATGATGGGGAGCTTAAAGCTGCAATTAAACGGACCGGAAAGGCGAAATGGGAGAGAAAAATTAAAGAACAAGGAAGATACGTCAGATAAAATATAACACCGTTTTTTATTTCAAGTTTGTCTTGTTCTTCTAGAACATAAAATAACAAACGGGAACGAAAATATCCTTAAGGAAGCTCCAAAACGTGTTCACTTCCAGGTACATATCAGAAAGGCTAGACCCCCGATCAATTAATCTGCTCTACGGTTACCGTAATTCCAGGGCCTCACCTCACTACTTCCAGTGGTCAAAATATTATGAAAACCCCGGAAAAGTGTCATCTAGTCCGCACCTTCAGAGGACTGTTTGCTGGGCGTCAAAATTGACAGCGACCCGATGCGGATGGAGGGTGGCCAGCAGCCGGGTGAAGTGCGTTTGCCGATCAGCTTTTCCTCGGGTCTCCACTTTTTTTCCTGGCAATTGGAACGCAACCCCAAAAATAGGGACAAATCAGAAAAAAATAAAATTTTTAAAGCAGTCTTGACGGATTGGTCTGGGAATTTAAAATTCATAAATCGGGATTAAAATGAATGTGCGCACCTGAAAATTTGGAAATAAAAAGAGAGAGCTGTGAATATGCCTGGCTTATCGGCGCCTTCCCTTTCAGACGTTCGTATAAATGTAATGAAACGTGAAAAATGATGTTGTTCTGCAAGAAATGACCCCCGAGCTCTCGCTAGTTTGAAAAAAACCACTATGATAGGTGTAAGCTGACCCCGGAAGAGCCCATTTTCTCTCCCGGTCGATGCGTTAAAGTCTAGCCTGAACTCGCCACAAAAAATAAGGCGATTTAATTACTATTGAATCAATTCTAACGCAATATCAAAAAGATACATATTAAGTTTGTTTGTCATCTCTATTTTGTTTTGAAACTCTCAATTGGAATGCCCTTACAATTGGGACGTGACAATCTTGTCTGCAGATTTGTACGACAAAAACGTGACTTTATTCAATATGAATCAATACGATTGAAACCAATCACAGGACGCAATCTTCCGCCTCAGGCACTTCGGATTTTTTAGCTAGACGTTGGTGATCTAAAAAGAATTAAGCGGAGTTTTCAGTAAAATTTACGTAAAAATAGGTCCCGGCTGTCGGGGTTCCGAGCAGGCGGCCGGTGTCCGAGCGCAAGAATTCACTAAAAAAAAGTATTTTCTGGTTGAACCAACCATTTTCGATGTTTTTTCGTTTTTTTTCGAAGTTCTGATATCTGATAAAATTATCATAACGGACCTAACACTTCGATACTTCGCATGTAGATCCACAGTAACCGAGACGTAAAGTCTCGTAATCGGGTTGACGGTCCGGAACATTAGCACTACCCACATTTTACGATCTGGAAAGCCATTTACATTTAACAGTGATTTTTTGCGAAGAGGGAAAAAGAGAAAGAGCGAGAGAGAGAGAGAGACGGAGAGAGAGAGCAAGAGCGAGAGAGAGGGAGAGAGCAAGAGCGAGAGAGAGAGAGAGAGAGAGCGAGAGAGCAAGAGCGAGAGAGAGAGCGAGAGACGGAGAGAGAGCGAGAGAGAGAGAGAGAGAGAGAGAGAGAGAGAGAGAGAGAAGCGCGATCTCGCACGATACATTGATTCGCCGGCCGTTTTTGCTGCTCATCCATATTTGTCACTGGATGTGCATTGTAAATCTTCTTTGATATAAATCCACCATCATCCACCGGCTCTTCGAGATCCAATACCTTTCCTGAAGTTTTTTGAAACTGGCAAAAATCGTCCTCTCAATACCTCCCCTCGACGGGCGATCATAGTAGAATTGTAGCGTTTCGGTAACACTTACAGGATCTGAAGTTCACCATTAATGGAATTTTCTGTTCTTTTTTAGCTTACCAAACATTACTACATGCATATAACTGCCAATTGGTAATTCTGAGAATAATTTGATATTCTTGATGTAGGCCGGCTCGAGTAGCTTGAAAGGAGCTAGGACAAAATGATCGCCGGTTCGGATCTCTGGTGCGTGCATTAGAACGGAGGTGTGGACGTTTAGGGTTACCTGAAAAATAAAACCCAGTACACGAAGGTACACTACAGTACGAAACGTTACGCTCATGCTTGAAACTACGATACAATGCGCTACCGTATGACTCAGAAGTTGCATCACGCTGTTTTTTGGAACCCACGGCACGATATGGGATAGTAAAAAATTTGTTGCTACAATACATACGTAGTTACACATCGCAATAACCGCTCGGAAAATCAAGAACGCAACTGGACGCGACAGTACACAACACTACGTAATAGTACGCTACAGTACAGCATACTAAGTTACTGTAATCGAACGTCCGATACTACATATTCAAGCGCAAAACATTCTAGTACGCCACAATACCAAAAAAAAAACACAAGAAAATTTTGTGCAAACTTACATGTTCTATCGCTGCTACTGGAGGCGCCGGAACAATTCTTGGAGTCAGTTGGGCTTCAGCAAAGACTAAAATTTGAGTACTAAAACGCTTAAACCTAGCGCTAGAAAAATTATAAATGAAACGGTCGTCCAAATTGTTTTTCTTCGTACCTGAGGCAAAACTATACAGCGTGCTAGTCTTGCAACACAGCGATCGTCCATCATGTGGCAGTAGATGACCATTGGCCGCCTCGACGCATTTGTAGTTTGGAGGGCAAATATTGACGATCGCCGGGTCGCACAGCATCGCGTACGGCATACGGTAGGGGATCGCGCCGTTAGGGCAGACTAAACCAACGACAATAATTACTTCAAAAGATTCCATTTTTTTGGAATACTAATATCGCGATAAGGCTCCTTACGCTACCACCTACTTGGTTTAATCTCTTCCGGTTTTAGATTCAGCTGTTCAGTACTGTCCTGAATCATGTCACTGCAACACCGGAATTCCTTGTTCCCGACAGAGGCGCAAAACGGATTCCTCCCAGTACAGGTAAATGGGTTCTTCTCGGAGCAGGTGATACCGCTACCTAAAAAATTTATTCTGGGATAAACTGGATTAAAAAACCTTACCATCCTCGTAATTTGAGCATTGACTCAACGCAGGAACGTAGGTGAGTTCCCGGGATTGCCAGGGTTGGGAACAATCTGAAAGGAAAATAGTAACAATTAGAATGGAAAACGAGCCGATTTTAAGTAATTTGCATATTCTGTTTTTTAAAGGGGTTTGGAGGCCTATTTAGAATCGATCCATAGCTGACGTGGTATCGAAAGGGCTCGCCTGGCTTGTTATTCTGCGGCGGTGGCGGTCCATTATGCGGCATTTGAGCGTAGATTAGGGGATGAAACGAGGCGAGGAATAGTATCAATCTTATTATCATTTAGAAAATAGTGTCTGAAATATAAAAATGACAAAAGCAAGAAAAAATTGGTCAGGGGATCGGCGATGGAGCATGAGTTAGAGCAACAGAAGATTATCTTTTTGAGCAAAATCCGGGCTGGAATGATAACGATCAACAAAAATAAACGGTTTGAAAACCTTTCCAGAACAATTTTTGGATGGAGGTAGTTTAGGTTTTAAGGCTTCTTGAGATCTTGAGATTTCTTAGCTATAAAAATCGAGCCGGAACCAGGTCTTCGATCCACAACCCCAAAAATGTGTTCCGGGATTCGCGCAAAACGAGAGAGCGACGTTCGCATGCCGGGGCTAAGGGCCCCGGAAGGCGGATTAGGCCTGCGCCCCGGAAAGGAGAGGAGAAGCCTGAAGCCGAAGAAGGACAGGGCGAGAACTGGGGGATCGTGACCGATCGGGCGAGTCAACAAAATGCATCCCAACAATCGCTATCGGCGCGCTCTCTAAAGGGCCGCTAAAGGGCCTTTTTCACCCCTCCCTGGCTTCAGCCCTTTTTCGGCAACGTTCCGGGTCGATTCTGGAAGAACCACTTCTGGAATTGTGGTGCGTCAGCGTGAATTCTGGAATCTTAAACTCTATATTTTTTTACATTCTGAAGCTGATACGTTAAATTTTCGCCTTCAATGCTTCTGTTAAAAGTATTGGTATTCCTACTACTTCTGGATTCGGCTATTGATGCAAAAAGATCGTCAAAGAAGAAATTCTCAAAGTTAAAGTCGAAGAAAATTGACAAGGACGTGAAGGAGGTATCGGAAGAGGTCGATGAGAAGGAGGAGAAAGAAGATAAAGAGGAGGAAGAACTGGGAGAGGATCGAAACGAGTTTGAAGACAGTGAGTTTTTGAGATCGCTAACCACGAAGGTTCCAAATGGCACTAAAATCTAGCTAATTTTGCGCTTAAGGCATACCTTCACGTCTAATTTTTGAGATACCTTTAAAGGTCCGCAAAAATCACGACAAGGAATTTCATTGCATCAAAAAACGTTACTTTCAACCCAGTTAGTTACTAAAATTAGCGTGTAAATCCTGATGGTACCATCCCTTTAAAAACATGAAAAATTTATCTTTGGATCCATAACCCTGGTTTTATCCAAATTTTTTTCAGTCTGCCCGTTCCCATGGCAAACCCACGAGCAGAACATCCTCTCAACTTTTGCTCAATGTCGAGAATTTGAGCACGAGGGTGTGAAGTGTACCCCTCATGATCCGATCGAGTGTACCGGCAGGAATCCGGCATGTGTTTATTCGAAGGTAAAGCACCTCTATCTCTCACGTCCTCTCTTCCACTCTCTCACTCTCTATCTCGATCTCTCTCGCTCTCTCTCTCCCTCTCTTTCTCCTCTCTCTCTCTCTCTCTCTCGAAGTGTACCAATTTCTAGCTCTCCGAAGACTACCGCTGTTGCTCTGATGTTCCACAGGATTTGAGTAGCCCTCCAGGAGTCCCGGAGCAAGTAAAGCCAAGTAAGTTATTGTATTTTTAGGCAGTAGTACGTAAAATACTTTGTAGTTTGTCCCTACGGTGCAACTTCTTACGACATCCCATCCGTATTACTATGCGATCCGACGGAAGAAAAATCGTGTCCCGACGAGTACACCTGCGAGCAGGCAGTTAATAGTCAGGTTTGTAGCTTGTAGTTCAAATTTAAGCAGTTTAAAAATATACCTAGACCGAAAACTTAAATATTAGGTAAAGGATAGATTAGCAAGAGGTATCGAACCCCCTTCATTAGCTGCCGTAATCAATTGTTCCCTTTTTTAGATGCTCTCCACCTACAATATGCATTTGTGTTGCAAGTCGACGGCGCTGGATAGCTTCGAAAATGGTAAACATAGTACATAATTTTTATTATTTATATTTGTAGTGTTTTACGAGACGAAAGTGGGCATCAACAAGCTGTCGGCCAACTTCTCGATGCCAGTTTTCTATGTAACTTCACTGTCCCCATCCCTGGTCCCACAAGCGCCCGGTGCCGGCATCGATTTTGTAAGTTAATTCAAATTTCGCGTAATTTTATAAATATACTAAAGCACTTTAAAAGCTAAATAACACCATAAAAAAGAATCATATTTTTTTAGATGACACTGAACGAATACGTCAAAAACCCCACCGGAAACCCGTTGCCCGAGATTCGAACAGGGGATCATTTTTCGATGCTGAACTATCGTTTCAGAGAGCCGGTGACGTTGAAAAAGGTAAGAAACCAAGTATTTCATAAAACTAGGTAGATTATCAGTAGGAATATCGCCTTCGGCGGTCCTTAAACCAAAAATCACATTATAATTATTTCCAGGTCGCCCTCCTCCGGGACCAGTTCCCAGGGTCGTTTCACCACGTCTTGTTGCTCTACAGTAAGCCTTTTGTTAATTGGCTTACTTTTGTAGTTTTTAGCGCATGTTAATGTATCGTAACATAAATTCTGTTTTTAATTAAAGTTACGATTTTGTAAAAAAAAAACTTATTTAGACCCTCACGGAAACCCGGAGTCCATGAACTTCTACTACAACCGTCCATCAACTTTGAGTCGCGAAGTCGATCTATCGGTGCCGCCATGGGATGAAGGCGTGTTTTTCAGGTATTCTAAAAGTTTCTAAAGACCGTATGATATTGTATACCTAGAAGATATCGCCAAAATATATAAAATCTCGGATCTAGCCAAAATATCTGGTTGGATCGGAGAGATCAAACTACAAATCTATCGCTAAAAGCATCGCATAATTCTATTTCAGAAGCATCAACAGAGTAATGACAATCACCAACGACAAGGTATCCACGAAGCAGAGTAAGATACGGGTTACAGCATTTTTAATTCAACATCTTGCAGCGCGAAAACTTTATATTGTACTGGTGTTCAAAACGAAGCAGAGGCTGACGAGACGACACCCTCAAACTTGGCAGGTACGATTTAATTCTGCAAAATCGGTTTCCAGTGTTCGAAAAATTTTAAAACTGTGGCCAACTGCTTCAAAAATGCTTCTTTTCAGGACCTTCATGCCAATTACACCTCGTTCACGGAATTCCTATCGACAGCGACGGGGAAGTTGCTTGGCACGCCGGAGGCTGGATCGTATTTTTATGTAAGTGCAGCGTTTTCGAGTGGCAATTTTGCTTTAGATCACAAAGTGAGGCCACGAAGATTAACTACAACTTCCGATGTATCATGCCATTTGTGATAAAACATCTACTTTTAAAACTGTAAATATCAGGTTGGAAGGTAAGTCCTGTCGCCGAGATTTTGGCAGGCTGGCTAAAATCGTAGATAGCTCCATTCTAAACATGTGTTATGTCATGTTGTAGCTCTCGGCCTGAACCGTTTCGGCAGGTGGGTCCTAGGCCGCCAACTTCAAGGAGGACCGAGAGACAGGCCCAAGAAGTTTTTCACAAAATCCCCAAAAAGTGTTTTTGCACGTTATCTCTGCATAGAGTGATTTGCATGCGATACCTTTAACGCCAATCGATAGCTCTCGAGGAGTAGATATCGATAGATCTTGAGATCATCAAAATTGGACACTGGACGGCCGAGATATGGGCCTTTGAAATTCGGACCATTTCTTAGAACTTTTCTCGAAATCCCATACATTTCGCTGGAATTGACCGGCAGATGCCGAAAATTGCCGCTTTATTTTTGGACGCGCCGAGCTGATTTTGACCAAATGTATGGGATTTCGGGAAAAGTTCTAAGGAATGGTCCAAATTTCAAAGGCTCATATCTCGGCCGTCCAGTGTCCAATTTTGATGATTTCAACATCTATCGATACCTACGCCTCGAGGGCTATCGATTGGCGTTAAAGGTATCGTATGCAAATCACTCTATGCAAAGATAACTTGCAAAAACACTTTCGCTCAATTTTTCCAAAAACTTCTTGGGCCTGTATCTCGGTCCTCCTTGAAGTTGGCGGCCTAGGACCCACCTGCCGAAACCGTTCAGGCAGAGAGCTACAAAATGACATATCGCATGTGCAGAATGGAGCTACCTACGATTTTAGCCAGCCTGCCAAAAACTCGGCGACAGGACTTACCTTCCAACCTGATACAAACATATACGATGCAAAACATGCAATTATTGCATAGATTTTGCATAATTTTCGAAATCTAAACGGTACAGGAACAACCAATAGCGCATCCAACCCATAGGTTGCCAAAAATATTTTCTCGGACTGCGTCTTGCAGTTTGGGTGAAGGCGGAAGGAAAGTATTGGCGAGAGGAAGCGCAACCATAGTTTACGCTCCTGCAATTTTGTTGCGAAATGTGCCGTTTGAGGCGAAAAAATCACAGTGACTTCTACCTTACCTGCAACGAAACTCCAGGACAAAAAATAGCGTTACCGACAATAAAGTCATTGTTACGTTCGAATCCGCATCCATGCGTATGCATACGGAAATACCGAATTGGTGGGAAGCTGAAAAGTGTACGACGGTAGGAAATCGCAGGCCCCTGCGTATTTGTTGCCATGCATTCAACTTTTAAGAATTTCTATGGTTGCAGAGTTTATTAAAAGCTCGTGGGCAAAAATAAATACACGTAACCGTAAGCGAAATTGGCCACAAAAGAAGGCAGAAGGCGAAATACCCGTAGAAAAGTGTGGGCTACTTGGCGATCTCGACGATAACACCCACAACGAAGCCGGCCCCCGCACCGATGGCCGCACCAGGACCGCCTCCAAATGTACCGCCTGGAAATGGAGCTTAAATTTACTAGGGTCTGTTATAATGGTATAATGGGTCTACTATTTTAAGAGTTATACACATACACACAGATACGTAGATACACAGATATGGTTTTTTGGTTCTTTAGGATTACCAGGGGGGGAAGGACTTCCGCGGGGGGGACCAAATTTTTTCCTGGCGGTCCCGGTTGACCTAGAAATCAAATATAAAGTGTTTTCACATTGTTTTTAGTAAATTTTAACTATACTTAAATTAGAAAAACTTTCAAAAAAAGTTAGAAAAATGTTTGAAAAAGTCGAAAATTAGGTTATTTTGGGTCTTTCCCTCCCCCCCCCAGGCTAATCCTAAAGGTTCTACAGGATTTTGCGACGTAAAATTAAATTTTTAATGAAAATGTGTGTAGTTTTTATGCTCAGGAATAGTTAAAAACAACTTAGAAACGCAAGCGCTATTTATAAAAAAATTTTAGGATTGTGCCGAAAAAATTGGTTTCCACCCCACCCCCCCGGAAATCCTAAAGTGCCAATTTTTTTTTACTAGTAGAATTTCGTTCAAGGACTTACCAATGATCGCCCCAGTAGCGGTGGTCTTCGGAATATCGGACATTTTGGGGCTACGAGGTGGCTTGTGTCGGACCGGCCAGAAACTATCAAGCACATCCAGTGCGCTGTATTAATACTTTTTGGAATTCCTGGCGCAACGAAATTTTACGACCAGTCAAAAACGACCTTGTGGTGTAATCTTACAGGCGCTGAGGCTACCTGTTTGTGTTGCCGGCGCCGAAATTCTGTGGCGCAACAGACCTTTTTATTGGCGGGAGGCCTGAGAGCGTCAATCAATCAGCGAATCCAAACTGGCCGGTTGGAGCTGCAGGACAACCAGAAATTTAGCCGGGAAATTAAATTCAAAATAAACGGATTTTTCCAAATTTATTAAAGCGCGCTTGCCGGTGGCTCCCTGACTTATTCGAAAAACATCTCTATGTCAAGCGCCGTTGCAAAACGATTGGCTGTCCTCGTTTTCCCACGTACGCGCTATCGACACACCCTGAGGATGGTGTTATCACGCGGTTCGATCTCTTCCGCCACAAATTTCCTAGGATAAAAGCCTAGCAACGAACTTTGCGCTGGATGGCTTAACTTAGCTTTTGCAAATTTCTACGTTTCCAAAATGCCGAACAGTGATGTTGTCACGTCGGATCCGGGAGTTAAGGATGCTGTCGGTAAGTGTTAAAAGTATACTCTGCCATATCCCCAGGGGGTATACCCCCCATGGGGGTACAAAAGGGGTATGAGGTGGGGGTACAAAGGGGGTACGGGTGGGGGTACTAAGGGGGTACGGGTGGGGGTACTAAGGGGGTACGGGTGGGGGTACAAATGGGGTACCCCCCCCCCCAGTAGCACAGAAAATTTTTCTCTAGCGACCTCCCACATATAGCACATGTCGCTGGATCGCAAAAATACAACAAGAAAGGACAAGTCAGCTGGAATTGTATCAAGGCAGTTAATAAAATACCAAATTTGAACTAAACATTTTTTTAAGTTGAAAGTGTATCGGCGGACGAATCTTTTTGAAATTAACCCAGAAACCCCTGGTAACGTTATAGTAAGAGTTTCAATAATGTTTTTAGTAAAATTCAGACGTGTTTTAAGTGGAAAAAGTTACAAAAATTTAAAAAATGTTTACTTCAAGTTTCGGGTGGGGGGTGGGGGGTAGGGGGTGGGGTACCCCTTGTACCCCCACCCCGTACCCCCGCTGTACCCCCACCTCGTACCCCTTTTGTACCCCCATGGGGGGTATACCCCCTGGGGGTATGGCAGAGTATAGTTAAAAGTATTAAGCTTCGAGGCCGAGAACCGCTTTTTACGGTTCGCTTTTTCACGTTGCGTGGGAGTGTACAGATCGGGAGGAAATTCAACCATTTACAAAAATTTTAACCTCCTAATGTGTTTAGAAGTGGTGACCGCTGCGGCAACCGACGTGATTGAAACGGCGGTCGGAGCCATCGTCGACGTTTTCAAAACAATTCTCAAATAATAAATTTCTTTTAAAATTACAATTTGCAAAGCATTAAATTACTGGATCAGGAAGGCTACACATTGTTTGGCTGCGACATTCATTTTCTCTTGGCCTCCCAAATCCAAAAATAAATCTGAAACTAGGTCCGGTTTTGTTGCGAATCTGGAAACATAGGCGGACGTAAAGCGCATACAAAAAATCCAAATATCAATTTTGGCCCAAGCAACACGTCAGTTCTCAAATTTCCTTAGATTCGGGAAAGGTAGCATTTATTCGTTTCTTCATACTCGTAGTGTATAATTTAAATCCGCTTACACGCAGCAATGACAGACTCTCTTCGAAATACGAGATACACATTGCCCGGCAATACGTATCGATGCGTAGTATTGCGTTTAATTTGCCCCGCATGAATCCGCTGCCCTTGGCGAAATTTGCTTGCACGACAAAAATTTGTCGGTAGGGGTTGTGTTGCGCTGCGAAAACGGGTGTTGCGACATTATATTCTGGGACATAAAATGGGTGACAGACCTCGATGGTACGTCTGTCTTCCGATTTTGCACCATGCCTCACCAACTGCAGCCCCACGAGATTGTTACCGGAAGCGCGGCGGTCGGCGCTGGTATCGGTAAGTACGCATAGGAAGTAGTTTCTGAGGGCCCCAAACAGCCTTCTTGGGCCCGAACCTTTTTACTGGCGCCCATCACGTAATGTGATCATGAAATTGGTAATAGAGCGCCACAAAACCTCGCAATTTAGGTTCGTTCGGCGGGCCGGCGGGGACGGCGATTGGCGCAGGTGTTGGAGCCGTATGGGGGCTCATCGTGGCAATGGAAAAAAATCTCCAAAAATAATCGATATCGCGAAAAGCCCAAGATCAGTTAGCCACTCATCATATCACCTTTGAATAAACCTATTGATTCCTGCATCGTGAATCTACTACATTTTCCCTCGGAAGCAACGCGACTCTTTTACGATGTGACTTTAAAGGGGCAAGAAAGTGCCGGAATTGGCATCTTCCAAGCAATGGACATAGACAGCGAGTCCGCAGTCCAAATTACGATTTCGCATCATACAGACCTGGGTCCGCAGCTAGATCCGCATATGGTTCACTCATGTTCCGGAGTACGCGTAGCGACGGGCGTAGCCAGAAAGACAGAAATGAGGTCTAAGCAGGGGATGATTGTTTTCTGCGACAATAAAACGTCAGGCGTTGCTACGTAGCGATACGTACCAATCCGTAGGACACCCTCTAATTTTCTGCAGAATTCAGACAGAATTTTCTTTCAGAACACGCCTTTCCTGGTTGCACCGATTGTTTTGCCGGGCAATCATAACTTGCGGATTTTTCTTGCACGTTATGATGGGTGTTGCGGCAAAAAATTTCGGAGGCATAAAAGAGCGACTAACGACGGGTTGGCGTCTAATCTGTATTCGAC